TACAGAATAAGCGAATTTTATACACTGATTTCAATGACGGTTTACTTGCTCGTCTACATTACTATCGTTCATCCAAGAAATCGTACCCTAATGATTTCTCTAATCGACTTTCAGGAAAATTGATCTAATTCAATTTTTTTTTCTAATAGACATATTTATAATTGAATAAATTTGTTTAAATGCGGTAGAAAAAGTAGTGTGAGTGGACAAATCAGATTATTTATTTAAATCATTGGTAACACTGTAAAGAGTGTCTTCACTCCGTAATTCCTCCATTACATCTAAAGTGTGGGCCAATCGCTATATATGTTTACATTTCCTGAAGGTATTGTATAGATTGATTAAAATCTATTGTCAAGTAAATTGCATTAATTTGGTTGGACTTAACTATTTCTATGTCAATATAATCTTTAAATGTACCTATTCTGTAGCGTTTTTCTTAGATCTAAAGTAACATGTTTAATAAATAAAAATAAGTTACAAGGTAATTGCAATACTCTTACACAAGGTCAATACCAGGACCGAGACTGAGTGTGCAAGACCAAGACCAGAGGTGTTGACGCAAGACCCAAGATCAAGACTGAGTGTGCAAGACCAAGACCAGAGGTGTTGACGCAAGACCCAAGACCAAGACTGACTATGTCTCGTCATGGTCTTGCATGGTCTTGGACAGCACTACTTACTGAATTAGCATTAATCATTTATATTTTCCCTAATATCCTATTCCCCGAATATTTTATGGTTCATATCGGTCAATCTTACGGTTAACACATTTTAGGGGCTGTCATCATTACATTATATAAAATCAATGCTATACATTTCTTAAGCCTTGTCACATATTAAGTGTGTGTGAAACCGCCAAAGAACCAACCAATAAAACCAATTTTATCATTTGGTAGTAGTTAATATTTTAAAATATATCACAATATGATAGAAATTTAGTTCTTTATTTTTTTTTAATGCGAAGTTTGTATATAACTAGTGTTGACCAAATGGGAGACCGAGACGAGTCTTGGTCTTGCAAACTCAGTCTTGGTCATGGGTCTTGGTCTTGCGCGAGAGTCTCGCAACAGTCTTGCAGTTACTTATTAGCTTATCACTATAGAGATATTACTGTATTTTTTTAGAAAAGAAACCTAACTAAGCCTGAATGAAAAATTAGAGGAGTTAAATACAAAAGTGTATTGGTTATACCAATTATTGGCATATACTAACTAAGATTGTCAAGTATTAGTAACTGTTTTACCATACTTTTTATTTTTAAAAATAGATTTTTTTTACCAGTCCTGGTCTTGGTCTTGCAACAGTCAGGCGGCCTTGGTCTTAGTCTTGCAAAGTGCAAGACCAAAACCGATTTCGGGCAACACTATATATAACAGATGGGCGCTTTCATACCGAGAATGATAGTATAGTGCAGCAGAATTTAAGTCTCTCTCAAAAGTCAGGGTGCATTTAATAATAATAATAATAATAATAATAATGCTTTATTTATTCTGGGATAAGTCCCTTTAGAATAATATAAAAAGACAATAATATGGGCTAAGGAGCCTTAGAGATACATAAACAAAAATATACAGTAATTAAATAGTCAAAATTAAAAAAAATAATAGAAAAATTATAAGTTACTTACTAATTTAGATCAGTTAAAAATAAAAAACAAATAATTGGAAATAAACATGAAATAAAAATAATGAAGAACGCTCTAATAATTTATATACATATTTGCAGTAGTAACTATTTAAAATTTTACTTTTCTATACTAATAGTAGGAAGGAATAATTGGGTAGGGAAATCTGGGAGGAAGGGATAAAAGGTTTTAACTTGGTTTCGGATATTGCTATTATGTGGTAAAAATTATCAAAGAAATGTTCCTGAAATTCATTCTAGTGTGCAGTAAGGGATTGTGCATTGATGTGACAGGAATTCAGGATATTCGTCATGACTGGAGAGTTCGGAAGTAGGATTTTGGAAAAAAAAAAAAAAAATGATCAAGGATGAAGGATAGGATATATTTTTTTTAAGCATAATGTCAAGTTTATAAATATAAAAAACCAATGCTTACATAAAATAAACTTTGAGATGAAAAAAATAAATTTTCGGTGTTTCAAAATAAATATTCAGTTAAAATTAATTTGTAACATAAGAAAATATAAATTTCTCCTTGGTCTAGATAAATTGATAAAAATTGGTAAGGAATCGAATAAAGTTCAAAATAATTTATACAAAAATAAAAGAAGCTTAAAATTAAAATAATAATATTTCTGATGGGTAAAAATTTATACAAAAATAAAAAAAACAAGAGAAGCTACATTTATAAAAAAAATAAAGAAAGCTGGAAATGAAAAAAATATAATAAATATATTTCTAGCGAGAGAAAGTAAATTAATTGCAAGCTGAAGGTAACTTATATACAAAGTTCAGCTGAAAGCAGTATATACATTTAGTATATACTTTTTAAATTCATTCAGTAGTACTTCCATAATAAATAAATAATAACGAGCATCTTTAAGTCTCGAGGCATATAATTCTTTTAACCTTTACTTTTTATCTTTTGTAGCTTTTGTTAGATATATTAGTTAGTAAGCCGCTTCTTTAAAGCGATGTTTCGAAACGGACTGATTGAGACGTATATTTTTCCCGGCTATATTTATTGATTCAAATTATATCAACAATAATAATCATATATTATTATTTTTCGGCGTATAACGAACACGACGTAGCATTAGGGAATCCATTTCGGTAATAAACCGCACTTAAATAAAGCACTTTATCAAATTTGGACGGTAGGAGGTAGAGCGATAACTCTTCGAAAACAGAATATCAAATAGGCAAGCTGCCTAATAGGGCTCACTATATCAGCTATATCGGCTCCGCTCCACCTTGTAGTGTAGGAGGAACAAGTGCTCCTACTGCAACAACACAACTAATATATTATTTCATACTGTGTTTATTTTATATGTATACATCTATTCAATACAATTGGGAAAATTGAGAGTTCACGTTCATATTCGGTAAAATATTAGATACATTTGCTTCTGTTTAAGTACGGGTAAAAAAGAAAATAAGAAAAAAATAGATTTGAAATAAAATAAAAAAATGTCTGCTAAGGAAGGTCAGAATAGCTTCCTCACTGTTTTCGTTGTATATTAAAAGGTATACAATTTTTCGTATGAGAATAAAATCTCAGAGAAGCAGAATCGGAATAGCCGATTACAGTTACCCTTCAACATTCAACAAAAGAGTGTCGTATTTGAAGATTCCATACTTGATTATGCTTAATATAAAAAAAAAAAAAAAATGCATACTGAAGATGAATTTCAATACTCTTAGTGCAAAAGGTCTTATGTAAAAATTTATTTATTGTTTCACAGGAGTGCATAAAAACTCATTTCTTTATGCTTTATTAGTATAATTTCATATTTTATTGTCATCTGCTATTTCCTATAGTAGCAGACTACTTATATCACTTGCATACTACAAAATGTCACCTTTAATACACATAGAATAAAAGTTGAAAATTTTTACATACGACCTTTTACTAATAGTAGTGATATACACTACCGGATTCCGGATTTAATTTTGGGGGAGGGGCTTCAGCCCGAAAATTTTTTTTTTCATACATATATATATATATATAACGATAATTAATTTGAAAAAAAAAACGCTGCAAATTATTTCACAATGGTATATTATTTCCAAACAATTATGCGTATAAAGTGACATTACCTTCCTAGTTATAAAGAAAAAAAAAATGATGATTCCAATTATTGGACTAAACTTTTTTTAATCATTAGTAATATCCTAAAAAAATAGCATTACTTCAGTAACACATTCAAAAATAAAAACAAAAGATAGAGAACATATCTTTGCTCCTAATTGTCCGATTTTAACATTTTTTTTAGGAAATTCCGTAAACTTTTAAAAAAACCATGCAACAGTTACAAAAATGTTCATACTTCTTGAGTTATTCGGAATTTAATTTTAACATTCTTCGTAACTTTTTTTTCATCTTCTTTTCGTTGAAGTATGTTATATAGATAAATTTAAAGGGCGTAGAGAAAATGACTTTAGCGAAATTTCATTGAAATCTGTACATTCGTTTAGAAGCTATAGTCTATAGCAACGAGGGTTTTCGGCCGCCATTTTGAAAGTAGAAGGTGAATAGTAATGTCGTTGAAGGAGGATCATCCTCGGGTGACCTCTGATTTTATATCCAAATTTGAAAAAAATCGGTCCAGTAGTTTCGGAGAAAATGCGCGGACGGCGGACGGACAAAAAAAGTTTCATTCGTTTTTCGAATTCTACGCATCCTGAAACGAGAAACCTCAAATTTTGAGATGGGGTTAAGTTTTTGAATTTTTTGGTCGATTACAATGGTTGATTATTGAAAATAATAAACCAATAAATATCATTAGATTTCGTTAATGAAATTGAGCAAAAGTGGATGATCACAAAGACAGCAACTTTATGTAGATCTCTACCACATATTACACAATTACAGAAACACTACACAGTAATTTGACAAAGCTGCCGGTAGAACGTGGTAACACAAAATATCGAATGCGATTTAACCTTTGTATTAGCAGTATTACGTAATTAAGACAAACGAATGTAAAATTTCAAACATGTAGCTTAGAACAGACAACGGTTTCATTTAATGAAAAATGTAAGTAGATATATAATTACTTTTTTTTTCTCAGTCAGCCTTAAAATTAAAATTACTGACTCTGATTTTGAAATTGGCAGCGTATGGAATTTCTTATTGGTTTTATTTAGTAGTTTATTATTTATTTAATTCAGTTTTTTAAATATTAAATAGATCTTGATGGATTTTAAAGAAATAAAACATTCTTAAGACAACGGACACATGAATATTACATTATATCTTTTAAAACTTGAGATCCGGATTAAAAAATAAATTTACGAAAACATCCAAGCTGGATGATATGATTCCCGGCAATAGATAGATATCCGGAGGGTCGTGACGACAGCGCTCTCGGATGCCGGGCGGGGGAATTAAACCGGGAACAGTAATGAGTTGGAGAGCTCACGATGTGTTGTCATCGCGGAGGATGGGTCTGGATATGGGCCGCCTTTAGATTAGCCATCATTCTAGGATTTAGTTATTAGCTAATGTGCGGACAGCTCATAGGCCCGGCCTACGTCGGCGTGGGAACAGGGGTCGCGACCTTGGTCATCGGTACAGTCTGCCGTGACGTCGAAGGGAAGCTAAACGACCACCGCCGGCGTCGGTTTTTGCGTTCTGTCAGATATGAAACAGCCACGACAGAGCAAGCCTTGTATAATGCCCCTTTAGCATTTTTATCGATATTTGTTTGCCAGTGCTTCTGCAACATGGAGGAAAATCAATATGGTTCCTGAATAGTTTAGCTCCCTTAATAATACCTAAATATACTTCCTTCTAATAAATAATAGCTACATTACGAGCCAAACATGTCAACCATTCAGTCACAGAACTGAAAAATCCCTGATTTTGTAAATCGGACTCCTCCTTCATATTAGATTTTTTTGTAATCAATTTTTCCTCATATTTTATTCTAGCTTTATTTTACTTTCATATACCACTTTCATGGTTTTATTTATATTTTTTTGCCTCTACTATGTATACTCAATGGCAGTACCGTTACCATAAATTCTGTTGTAGAGTTTTACTGATTCAATGATTTCTTTTAACAGCTTTTACGTCTTTTAATTTTTCTTTCAATTTTGGTAGCACATCTAATTGTTTCCTTGAATTTTAAAATTTGAGACAGTCATGGATAACATGTCTAACTGTTCGTTGAACACCACAGCTTGCGAAAACTTAATGTAATTTTTAGCATTAATATTCTTTTTCCATTTTATGTCACCGTCAACCACTAGCGGATCCAGGATTTAACTTGGAGAAGGGGCTTCAGCCCGAAAGCTTTTTTTTCATAAAAATAACGATAATTACTTTGGAAAAAAAGAATGAAACTACCAAGTGATTCCTAAAGTCCTTTTAAATGTAATTACACGAACGATAATACTTTAAGAGTTATTTTTTTTCCATAAAACATGGTTATATTTCACCATTTTGGGAAAAGGACTTTAGCCCCAAAGCCCTCCCTCCCCCTCACGTAGATCCGCCCGTGCCTTCTACTTTATATCTATCTACAACCATGTATCACATCCACAATCATAAACTTCCGCTATTCCAAATCAGTCACGAGGGTAAAGACTAATAAAAGAGGATCGAAAACCTCTCCGTTTTGATGGCTTGGGAATTATCCTATACCCTCCTATCAAATCGCTTCCATTTTGAACAAGGAATAATACAATCTTCGAAATGACAAAATTCTCTTTACTTTTAAATCAAACTTCAAAATATGAAAAAAAATAAATAAATACAATAGGCTATGGATGAAATGCAAACTAGAGATATTGGAAAAATATCGATATTTTATATACTGATATTTTTATATCGTTGTTTTAAATTTTACTATAAAAGTTGATAATTTCTTGTAAAAAAAAAAAAAAATTAATGTCTAAAAAGAAAGCCTCCTCACTGTTCATCACATAAAATCTCAAATTATTTTTAAAAATAACACATCAAAAATATTTCTGTTTTTACATTTTATGGTAATGAGACTAAGATTCCCATTTTAATACTTATGCCACCTTTTTTGATTATGTTTACTTCATCATTCCACACTGTGTACCGCTTATTATCATTTATCTCTTTAATCTTACTATTGTCATTATTCTAACAACTGAATTTTACTTTAATTTTTTTACCTACACTACTTATGTTTCTCATACCTTGTTATCTGGTTTTTTTCTTAGCCCTGATGATGGCCTGAACTTCAGGTCAAAACGTCGGCTAATGTCAAAATAAATAGTATCATTTATTTATGGCTTCTTATTTGACTGATCACCCCAACTATTCTTCTCTTCATCAAAAATATTGGTTTAATTAATTGTTTATATATCGTATTAACATTGTTGGCACCATGTTAAAATAACGAATGTACAAAGTTGGGTAGGTTAAGATTCGTTACTTTAATCTGACGATGATATATGTTTTTTTCTGCTTTGGTTTGTGATGATAATGTATTTTTACCTATTGTTTTCAGGCATTATTAATTCAATTTTGATTTTTTAATTTTTTTTTATGTAGAGAAATTTAATGCATTAATTCTATTTATTACTAATAAGTATTTTAAATTAACAATGTTAATATGTTTATAGGTTTTAAGTAATTTATTTACTTTTATCCTTATTAATATGTACATTTTTTATTTTTTTTATTTCTAAGCTATTCAATGGATTTTTCTATTTCTAGTTCATAGAAACAAATTACTGTTATTTTTATTTGCAAATGTTAATAAAATAATATACTCTTTTTTATAAAGCTACTGTTATAAAAAAAGTCGTTTATAAAAATTGAGTTTTTTTTTTTTTTACAGAAGAGTATTCAATATTTCTTTATGATTTATTAGTATAATTTTATATTTTATTTCCCACGACTATTTTCAATAGCAGCAGATTAGCACTTCCAGACTACAAAATGTCACCTTTAGCACAAATATAATAAACATGGAAAACTCTTACATACGACGAGCATTTGAAATAACAGTAGCGATAACTAATCTATATATATAAAAATGAATGTATGTCTGTCAGTCCCTCTGTTTGTCCTTAGTGCATTACTAAACCATTCAACCGATCGCTATGAAACTTTGTGAAGTTGTTCCGTACACTCCTGGGAAGGTTTCTGGCATAGTACTTCTTTCTTACGATAATTTTATATATGTAAAAAAAATAAAAATGTAAATGTTTTTCTGTTCAAAGCCGCAAAAAATTTGTCGCTATAAGCTGTAGCGCCAAAACGGCTTTACCGATTTTAACGAAACTTGGCTAAAGTCTTCCCCTTGAAACCCTTTTAATTTATGTGTATAACATACTTTCCCGAGAACAAGCTGAAAAATGTTACGATGACTTCAATATTCTATTTGCCGATAACTAAAAAAGTACACAATTTTTGAAATGCCTATATTTATATGAAAGATTGCTGAATTTCTGGCAAAAAAAAAAATCGAAATCGGACGGTTCGTTGCAGAGTTATAGAGTTTTAAACATATACCGCTTTCTCTTCAGAAAAGGCCGTTTCCTTTTGCTTCCTTACTACCGAAGGTCGGCAAGCATTTTTTTTTTTTTTTTATTAATTCAAAATTTTATAATTTCTACTCGAATGTTCAATTTGAATCATGAGAAAAAAAATCATTAGAATTAGTTTAAATTGAAACCATTTTACAGACAAATTTGTTTCCCAACTTTTTAAAAATGACAGATGTCCTTTGCTACTAATCTACTCATATGTGCTTTCTTTTTTCTTTCTTTTTCATTTTGCCAGGCTAAGCCACAGCAGCGCGTGGCCGGATAAAGCTAGTATATACATATTTAATTATTGCTACTTGATACTAATTATGTACTCCAAATGTCTGAATACTTGAATACCTTTCGTGCTGAATGATGTACTGATAGTGACTCACACGTTTATAGATTAAAACATAAGCAATGAGTCCTGATTATCTCCTGATGAACTCCCATCGATATTTTTGTTCGATCCCAACTCTTTTCAAAAATAAAATGTATATATATTTTGATATATATTTTTCAAAAAATCTAATTATTATTTCGATATATTTGAAAAAAAAAACAATACTACTTACGATTTCTTTTTTCGATATTTATATTCCTAATGCAAACAGATATTGATTAATATGAACAACAGGGAGATTTTACTCATAGTCGATTATTGAATCGCCGAGCGCTTGCTGGCCACAAACCCTCACTCGGCGACTCCCGGGCAGATATAGAGACCCCCAAAGAGGAAGGACAATAAAACAGAAGGCAAAAAGTCCCCGACCGGGGCGAGCCCTCGGAGGAACAATATGGCCCAGGCAGATTAGCAGATATAAATATAATCGGAGACAAGAGCAAGTATTGTCTCGTAAGAGGGCCTATTGTTTCCTCTATATACAGTATATATCTCCACCCTCTAGCATCACCTATGCATCTCAAGGTCTGCGTACCCGTTGGCCACATCGATGCATCTTTATAAGCTGTCGTCTATAGAGATATTTATCCACTTCTGAGTTATACAGCCACCCCGCCCACGTCATTCCGCCTTATATAGCAGCAAGAGAAAACGGAAATTTTACCAGCGAATTTCTTGTTTATGACTTATTTTACTGTGGATAGGTCGATTCCTTAAAATTCGATGTAGACAAAGTAGAAACAAAAAAAAAAATAACTTTTAAGAAGATATCTTTATATAATAACATATAAAACATTTGTATTTTATAATATAACTTATGTGCTATATCAGTGCAGACAAATTTATCAACTGATCCAACAGGTTATCAAGACGTGTCTCCATGAGTGATGAATAAAGGGATATAAAAAATAAAATAGATACATAGATAGAAAAATAACTTTATTCTGGGACACAGTCCCTTGAGAATAACAAAATAGAACAAAATTAAAAGATTACATCTGGCCAAAATAAAATCAATCGAAAAAAAAGAAAAAATGTAAAAAAAATATAAGGTAAACATTCTATATACAAAACAAACGAAACTATATACAAAATAATTAATACTATGACAAGAAACTTAAAGCTATTTGCACTGATAGACCAGTATGCACTTTTAAGAAAATAATAAAGAATTAAAAAATAAAAATGTATCAAATTCTCTATTAAAATCAGCTCGAATGGTTAGCAACTGTTTTTTTTTGGACTGTTTTTGGGATAGGAATTGGAATAGGAGAGTTTTGAATGTGGATATGGATGGGGAATGTCGAATTTTGATAGGGAGGGAATTCCAGAAATTGACAGAGCGAACAATAAAGGAATTTTGGAATGAGACAGATCTGTGAGAAGGCATGTAAAGGTTAGAAAGTCGAGATCTTGTGGACAGGGAATGGACTGAGGATTTGAACTGGAGAAGGTTGTAGGTGTAAGAAGGACGATGGTTGTTGATGATTTGGTAGAGGAACGTACCTAGGAAATATTGTCTTCGGAAGGAGGGGAAAAGCCACTTTAATTCAGCGTAGTGGTGAGAAACATGTGAGTATCTTGGGGCCCCGATCACAAATCTTACGCAGCTGTTCATTAGTCTTTTCAGTCTATCGCGGAGCTATAGAAAGAGAGGCCATCATACACCACACAGCTATAGTCAAAGTGGGGGAAAATGAGAGAGGAAACTAGGAGTCTACGCGTATGTTGAGGTAGGAGATGGCTGAAGCGATGGAATAGTTTGAGGGTGGAAATTGTCCGTCGAGAGATATGAGAAATGTGGTGATTCCAAAAGAGGTTTTGATCAATGAAAAATCCT